GGATGCCATGTTAGTTAGCTGTTGGGCACAAATCGCTGCAGCTTGTGCTATTGCAACTGATGCGATTGGGCTACAAGAAAATTTGCAGTTATCTATCTGGTCTTAACCACTGCAGTAGAAGAATTTTATTGTGGCAGTTAGCTATAATTCTCTTTGGGTTTATTTCCTTTATTATGGAGGAGTGAAGAGTTTTGCCTGGGACTTTAATGAAGGAACAACTTCCTGTTTGATGCGAATAGTAATTTTGTTTTAGACTTTTCTTTGTCCTGAAATAGAATAATAGAACATGCTTTGAAATTTTAGTACACGGGGGCAGAAATACATTAATTGGAACATGCAGTGATTCTTGCTTCCCATTAAATGGATAAAGCCATGGACTGCTCTCTTGTTATCTGTAATTGGTAATTAGAAAATCATCCTTTTTAATTACTCTTGACAGGTATTGATTGTGTGGTATGGTATAATTAGTTGTCCTTGGGAAGTATATGCAGAATAAATCCACACAAATAATTGGTTTTGGTGTTTCTTAAAGCTCAAGTTCAATATTTCTAATTATCTTTGTGAGAAGCCTTCTGATGTTTACTGTTTCCACAGCCTCTCTCTGCATTCTGGCTACATGTTTTCCAAATAAGAATAAGACACTCTTTGAACTAAAACACTTTGCAGCCTCACCAGCAATATAGTTATAATCGCTAAGGCTAAGTGGTATAATCACAAAATGCTATGGCCACTGTAATTTTTAAAAGTTTGGCAAACAAATTAAATGATATTTGTGGAGGCAGGGGGTGTTCAAGGAACTTTATCTAATTTTTTTAATTGACTTTTATAAATTATTTATATATAGAAGTCATAGAATCATAGAATAGTATATATAAAAAAATTGCTAAACAGAGAAGTCCATAATGCCCTGTGCTGGACAGAGGTTGGATGGGGTGCAGGTAATCCACTGTCAATCCCTTCCTGGACCCACCAGCTTCTGTCAGTGAGGGAGCTCTGCCCCATTGCACCCTCTGAAATGGCTGGTGGGCAGGAACTTCTGCCTGCAGCATCCTTGGTAGTGATAGCCAGCACAAATCCCCCAAAATAGGGTTCAGAGCTGAGTTGGCAGAGGATCCACTGAATTTCTTTCTTTCTTTTAAACATTTATTAATTTTTCAATAAGAACATCCAATTAACATATCAGATCAAATCCAATAAAAATAAAAAAAACTAAAATAAAAAGTCCATTTGTCTTCCAAATTGTAATCTTAATTTTTTTGACTTCCCACGGTCTGAATTCCAAAGCATTTTCCTCATCATCATAGTCCTGTCTCTTGTCGTCAGTGTTTTCATAATTCCATATCACGATTTTAGGATCCACTGAATTTCTGAGTGTCATGTGACGGCAAATTTTAAGGTTCTTTGCTATGCTAGCATAGGATGTGGTGTATTGAAGAGGCTCCCCCACCCCACTTCCCTCACCTTCTGCAGAGGCCCTTGTGAGCAGCAGGGATGATATGGGTGCGTTGTTCTTTTAAGCCCCAGGGATTTGAATTGCCCCTTAAGTTTTTTTGTTTTTTTTTTAATTATGTTTATATTGCACCTTTCCTTAAAGGAGCTCAAGTTGGCAAACATGCAGTCCCACCCCCACCCCACCCCACCTCTTTTGATCCTCACAACAATCCTTATACACCCAAAACCATGTCAGATGCTCAGATGAGTCCCGATAACTATACAGTGGTACCTCAGGTTAAGTACTTAATTTGTTCCGGAGGTCTGTTCTTAACCTGAAACTTGTTATGTACTGAAGTTCTCACCCTGGGCCAGCAGGGGGATACTGTAGATAGTTATGCAAATGAAGGATCGAAAGTGACGTTCAGTGATTGGAGGATAGTTTTAGAAAATGGCAACAGTTACATTGGTCTGGAGCGCTATATAAGCAGGCTGACTGAGCTCCTCAGTCAGTTCTGTTCCAGCTTACAAATAAAGAGCTGCTTTGGAAGAAACGCTGTGTCGTCTGATATGTTCGCCCACAACTCAACAAAACTGTTCTTAACCTGAAGCACCACTTTAGCTAATGGGGCCTCCCGCTGCCTCCGCACGATTTCTGATCTCATCCTGAAGCAAAGTTCTTAACCCGAGGTACTAATTCTGGGTTAGCAGAGTCTGTAACCTGAAGCGTATGTAACCTGAAGCGTCTGTAACCCAAGGCACCACTGTAGTCGATGAAGTTGTCTCATAAAAGAATTCAGTCATTTTGTTTCATGAGCCTTTCGGATGCAGCAACAGCGGAAACTGCCAAGAGCCAATGCATAGCAGAGTGTGAGCACAATTGTTTGCTTCGTTATGCAAAAGGTGGCAAATCTATCCCAGTGGCCTCTTGTGTTTTTAAAGCTGAAATTGCACCCCATATTCTTTTTGGAGTACCTGCTTGGTTTCCATATTTTAAATCTCCCTCTAGGACGACTTCAGTCCTACTTTCTTCGATTTATATTTGGCATGCCTAGACGCACTGCTGCTCTTCATTTGAAAGCTATTCTGCCTGGTTTGGATATAGTCAATTCACTCTCTCAGCTTCATAGCTTTCTCCCAGCTCTTTTGTATTCCAGGTCATGACAGACTCTTGTCAGTCTGCCTGGATGAAGGAATTGCTGCCAAAAATGAAAAGGTTGCTTTGGTGTGGCTGTCTCCTTCTTACTGTTTATGTGTAAACTGTGAGCAAGACAAATGTATGGTCAAACACAGATTAATTGATATTTAATTATCTGTTTATTAAATTTCTGTACCATCTTTCATCCAAGGATCATCAGGCCGCTTACAGTACCGTGGTACCTCGGGTTACATACGCTTCAGGTTACATATGCTTCAGGTTACAGACTAACCCAGAAATAGTGCTTCAGGTTAAGAACTTTGCTTCAGGATGAGAACAGAAATCGTGCTCCAGCAGTGCGACAGCAGCAGGAGGCCCCATTAGCTAAAGTGGTGCTTCAGGTTAAGAACAGTTTCAGGTTAAGTACGGACCTCTGGAACGAATTAAGTACCTAACCCGAGGTACCACTGTATAAAAACACAAAAATACACAGCATAGTGATAAACAAACACAAAAAACAAGCCCCCTACCCTATAATTTAAAGGGCCATAGATTGTTTAAATCATGGGAGAACATTCAAGTGTTGTATTTTGTAACCCAGGGGCCTTGCCTCCTCCCCTGGTCACTACATTTGCCAGTTTCCATTTCTAAGACTGGGGCCTCTGTTTAAACCGACTATTTGTTCCTTACTGTAGGAAAGCTCCCCCCCCCGCCCCCCCCCCCGGGACTGCTTTAAAGCCTGAGCCTCTAAACTTGTAGAGGGCAGATGAAACAAAGCTCCAGTAAATAGCAGGTGCTGCCTTTGTAATAAAAAAGAAGTGGAGTCAGTGTGGCACATTCTTTTCAAATGTTGCTTTTATCAGGGGGCAAGGGAAACTCTGAAATACCCCATTACACAGTCCTTTCCAGGACAATCGTTTTTAGATCATGGGTATGCAAACTAAGGCCCGGGGGCCGGATCTGGCCCTATCGCCTTCTAAATCTGGCCTGCGGACGGTCTGGGAATCAGCGTGTTTTTACATGAGTAGAAGGCGCGCTTTTATTTAAAATGCACCTCTGGGTTATTTGTGGGGCACAGGAATTCGTTCATTTCCCCCCTCCCAAAAAACAATATAGTCCGGCCCCCCCCACAAGGTCTGAGGGACAGTGGACCGGCCCTCTGATGAAAAAGTTTGCTGACCCCTGCTTTTGCGGGAATAAATCCCAGAGTTTCTTTTTTTCGAATTATAAAAAAGAAAACATATTTTTTTATACACACATACACATATACAGTGGTACCTCGGGTTACATACGCTTCAGGTTACATACGCTTCAGGTTACGGACTCCGCTAACCCAGAAATAGTACCTCGGGTTAAGAACTTTGCTTCAGGATGAGAACAGAAATCGTGCTCTGGCGGCGCGGCGGCAGCTGTAGGCCCCATTGGCTAAAGTGGTGCTTCAGGTTAAGAACAGTTTCAGGTTAAGAACGGACCTCCGGAACGAATTAAGTACTTAACCTGAGGTACCACTGTACACACAGAAATATACACTTAATTTCACAAAACCATAGTCATATCAAAAACCTTTATGGGGTTCCCTTCACCCCAGGAATTCCTCCCACCCCTCCCTTGGATTCCAAAGTACCGGTACTTCCCCTTTTAACTGCCTCTAATTATCTAAATAGGGACGCGGGTGGCGCTGTGGGTAAAAGCCTCAGCGCCTAGGACTTGCCGATTGAAAGGTCAGCGGTTCGAATCCCCGCGGCGGGGTGCGCTCCCGTCGTTCGGTCCCAGCGCCTGCCAACCTAGCAGTTCGAAAGCACCCCCAGGTGCAAGTAGATAAATAGGGACCGCTTACCAGCGGGAAGGTAAACGGTGTTCCGTGTGCTGCGCTGGCTCGCCAGATGCAGCTTGTCACGCTGGCCACGTGACCCGGAAGTGTCTGCGGACAGCGCTGGCTCCCGGCCTATAGAGTGAGATGAGCGCACAACCCTAGAGTCTGTCAAGACTGGCCCGTACGGGCAGGGGTATCTTTACCTTTATCTTTAATTATCTAAATTTGTTATATTCCATTTTTATCTTTGTTAATTTAAATTACAAGCGTTATGTGAATCCTTCTAATGTTTTTAAGCTCTTACAGAGTTTCAATGTCCCAGTATTCATGCTTGTTTTGTCAACCAGGATTCTCCTCCCATTTCTTGTATGTTTTAAACAACAGACTGTTGTTAACTGAAAGTGCAGTCCTGTACATGTCTACCCGGAAGTAGACATATACACTGAATTCAGTGGGGTTTATTAAGTGGGCATAGGATTGTAGGCTGAGTCCCATAAAGGTTGCAAAAGCAATAGTATCTTTTCAGAAAGCATAAACATTTTTATATTCATTCCTGTGAAACAGGTATTGGCATTTAATTTAATTTTATTTTTTGCAAATGTCTATTCACGTACCCAGGTTTACATACGAAATTGCACCTGTTTTTGTCCTCATGGAACAAATCACGCTTCGAAAAATGAGAGAGATTATCGGATGGTCAAATAAAGATGGAGATGGAATATTCTCACCGGGTAAGTTCCACTTTTGACATGCTGCCCTAAATGCCAAGTTGCCGGTTAAGGCTGGAAAAAATACAACTAGTTGCTGAGCATGTATGCTTTTAACTGTATGCTATTACTTTGTTTAAAAGGGACACGGGTGGCGCTGTGGGTTAAACCACAGAGCCTAGGACTTGCTGATCAGAAGGTTGGCGGTTTGAATCCCTGCGACGGGGTGAGCTCCCGTTGCTCGGTCCCTGCTCCTGCCAACCTAGCAGTTCAAAAGCACGTCAAAGTACAAGTAGATAAATAGGTACCGCTCTGGCAGGAAGGTAAACGGCGTTTCTGTGCGCTGCTCTGGTTCGCCAGAAGCGGCTTAGTCATGCTGGCCACATGACCTCGGCCAATAAAGCGAGATGAGCACCGCAACCCCAGAGTTGGTCACAACTGGACATAATGGTCAGGGGTCCCTTTACCTTTACTTATTACTTTGTTTACAAACAGCATTAAAAGCATCAATTACTATCTGATAGGCCATTTTAAGTAGAATTTTAGTAGAGTAGAATTTTAAGAGGATGAATTAAAAACGACAATTAGTCCTACAATTGGTCCTACCATTGGGCAGAATGAGGCAGCAGGCTAACTTAGGGGGCCGAGGGAAGACCACAAACAACTCTGTTGCATCACAGCTCTAAATTGCGCCATGCCTGTATGAAATGTACACAGCACATTTCACCAGCTATGCTTTTCTGCCTCCATTCGTAACACCAAACTTTTCCCGCCCTCCCTCTTATCTCTTTTCTAACATTCTATTCTCATGTTCTCTTGTTACAGGTGGTGCTATATCCAATATGTATAGCATCATGGCTGCCCGCTACAAATATTTCCCAGAAGTCAAAACCAAAGGCATGGCTGCAGTGCCTAAACTGGTCCTCTTTACCTCAGAACATGTGAGCTCAACAAGCTTAATTAACTGTTGTTACTGCAATTGTTGGGGAGGGGGGCTAAGGAAGATGCCATTCCATCACCATCAGCCCAATTTTGAAGGGGTACGACTGCCTGATTTCAACACCACCCATTGCATATTTTGGGGTGGCCCTAAAACTGTCACAGAAAATGACCTCCAGCTACTTAGATGGAGGTTCTGTTGAACCTGAGGAGGATGGTTGGTTCTCTGAGGGTGCTGTTTCCTAGAGTTGGTTCTAGCCACCATCTCTGTCATTAAGCTTACTTTGGAGGCAGTATGCAGTATCCAGTACAGTGGTACCTCGGGTTACATACGTTTCAGGTTACATACGCTTCAAGTTACAGACTCTGCTAACCCAGAAATAGTGCTTCAGGTTAAGAACTTTGCTTCAGGATGAGAACAGAAATTGTGCTTGACATGAGCCAACAGTGTGACGCGGCAGCTAAAAAAGCCAATGCAATTCTGGGCTGCATCAATAGGAGTATAGCATCTAGATCAAGGGAAGTAATAATGCCACTGTATTCTGCTCTGGTCAGACCTCACCTGGAGTACTGTGTCCAGTTCTGGGCACCACAGTTCAAGAAGGACACTGACAAACTGGAACGTGTCCAGAGGAGGGCAACCAAAATGGTCAAAGGCCTGGAAACGATGCCTTATGAGGAACGGCTAAGGGAGCTGGGCATGTTTAGCCTGGAGAAGAGGAAGTTAAGGGGTGATATGATAGCCATGTTCAAATACATAAAAGGATGTCATATAGAGGAGGGAGAAAGGTTGTTTTCTGCTGCTCCAGAGAAGCGGACACGGAGCAATGGATCCAAACTACAAGAAAGAAGATTCCACCTAAACATTAGGAAGAACTTCCTGACAGTGGAATTTGCTGCCAAGGAGTGTGGTGGAGTCTCCTTCTTTGGAGGTCTTTAAGCAGAGGCTTGACAACCATATGTCAGGAGTGCTCTGATGGTGTTTCCTGCTTGGCAGGGGGTTGGACTCGATGGCCCTTGTGGTCTATTCCAACTCTATGATTCTATGATTCTATGTGCTTCGGCGGTGCGGCAGCAGCGGGAGGTCCCATTAGCTAAAGTAGTGCTTCAGGTTAAGAACAGTTTCAGGTTAAGAACAGACCTCCGGAACGAATTAAGTACTTAACCTGAGGTACCACTGTATACAGAAGGGAGTTTTACATCCCCCACCCACCTGCAAATGTTTCATTGTGACAAAACCGCTCGCGGCACTCTGACAGAGATTTTCTTCAAACCAGACTGTAGCGCAGTGTTGGGGACAAGGAGGCTGTGAGGAAGACAAAACATGTCTTATTTACTTGGCAGCATTTGATGTGGCTGCTTGTGATACCTCACATTATCTACAAAGCTCAGTCACCCCAAATATCTCTTAATTTGTCTTAGAGCATGGGTAGGCAAACTAAGGCCCGGGGGCCGGATGAGGCCCAATCGCTTTCTCAATCCGGCCCACGGACAATCCATGAATCAGTGTGTTTTCACATGAGTAGAATGTGTCCTTTTAATTAAAATGCATCTCTGGGTTGTTTGTGGGGCACAGGAATTCGTTCATTTTTCCCCCTTCAGAATATAGTCCGGCCCTCCACAAGGTCTGAGGGACAGTGGACCGGCCCCCTGCTGAAAAAGTTTGCTGGCCCCTGTTTAGAGCTTACCATGTCCTCAACTAATTAACACTTCCCATGCCCCCTTTCGAAGCATTCATAGTAATGTTGCATAACGAATAAAGTGCCTGTGAGTGTGTACAAAGTGCCTGTCTGCACAGAATCAAGGAACAGAATCTGCCACCCCACAGATCTAATTCCTGGTATCTACAGTGGTACCTCGGTTTACGAACTTAATCCATTCCGGAAGTCCGTTCTTAAACCAAAACTGTTCTTAAACCGAGGGGCACTCTCCCTAATGAGGCCTTCTTCCACCGGTGCCCTCCCACCATTCGGCTTCCATTCTTAGACCGAGGTAAAGTTCGCAAACCGGGACACTACTTCCGGTTTTGCGAAGTTTGTAAACCGAATCGTTCATAAACGTGGCTGTTCTTAAACCGAGGCAGTGGCGTAGCGTGGGGGGTGCAGGGGGGGCCGGCCGCACCGGGCGCAACATCTGGGGTTAGGGCAAATCCACAGGTTAGGGGGCGCAAATCCACAGGTTAGGGGGCGCAAATCACTTGCCTTGCCCCGGGTGCTGACAACCCACGCTACGCCACTGAACCGAGGTACCACTGTATCTCTCTTTTTAATCTTTAGGCAAGCTGGGGGACCTAGTTGTAATAATGTTTTGGGTTGTTTCGCTTCTTTTTATATATTTTTTGGAAATGTTTAGAGCTTATAGCTTGCTGTGGTGCTCCTAAATCATGTCTGACCCTTATTTCAGCACTTATTCCAGACCATTCCCTCTGACTTTTACCACTGCATTCAAACTGCTTCCTTTAAATCAGGGATCGGCAAAGTTTTTGTGGCTTGGGCCAGTTCATGGTCCCGCAGACGCTGCAGTGGGCCGGAGTGTCTGCACGCGCATGGACACATGCGCAAATATTGTTTCCAGCGCTCCTTCCAACACGGAAGAGGCTTGCGCATCTTCCCATTGGCTGCAGGAGCTTCCTGCAGCCAATGAGAAGCCAGCCAGCGTTGCGGAAGGCGGTCCCCGCTCTGCTCTGCTCCTTTTTAGTGCAGCACACGGGAGCCAACCAAGCAGGCGGCGAGGGTCCATGGGCTGGTTAAACGACCCCCATGGGCTGCTTGTGGCCCATTGGCCTTAGGTTGCCGACTCCTGCTATAAATGGTTGGTTTGTGCCTGGAAGCAGCTGCCACAGAAAAGGGTATAACAGCCTTTTGTGTGTGTGGCGCTTGCAATGAGCGGCTAGGGCATCTCCTGCTGGCAACCGTTGCTACTACACAACTAAACTTGACTTCATTTTCTTTCATTCCTTTCTAAAAGGACTGACGAGTTTTTGTCGCTGTTGTTTTTGCAGAGTCACTACTCAATAAAGAAAGCTGGAGCTGCGCTTGGTTTTGGAACAGAAAATGTGATTTTAATAAAGTGCAACGAAAGGTCTGCTCCCATAGCAAAATAGCTGTATTGAGTTTATTTGTTTTTTGTTCTGTGCAACGAGATGCTAATGTTGTTACTAATTAGATCAGTTGAATTAATTAAACTATGGTTAGTGTTCGCTTCTATTTGGTCTTTATTTATTTGTTTTAAAATATTCTTTGTTTTTGTCTTTCACGTTGACTGCAGAGGCAAAATAATACCAGCTGATTTGGAAGCCAAAATTCTGGAAGCCAAACAAAAGGTAACCCTGATGTTTGTTTTTTAGGGGGGGGACTGAATATATTTCCTAGTTAGATGAACATAAGTAACATACATTTTGTCTTTTACATAAATGCATACCACACAGTGTAAGACAAGATAAGGAAGAAATAATAAATTAATTTACAGTGCAATACTAACCCTTTGCTGCTGGAGCTCCAATGCCCCCCCCCAGACCCCCAGCAAGGGGAGAAACTTATAATCCACTGGTGATTGCATCAAGTCCTCAAATGGACTTTTGGGGGAAACAATGAAAGAAAATGTGACAGTTAAAAAATATGCACGGCAGAAAAACTGATGAAAGAACCTGTAATCATTTGCAATAACTGGAGTTAACCTCTGTTTCCAATATTTATGTTTCCTCATGAACTTTATCCTCTGCCTTACCTCATAGGGATATGTTCCCCTTTATGTGAATGCAACTGCTGGCACAACAGTTTATGGGGCCTTTGACCCAATTCAGGAGATGGCGGACATTTGCGATAAATACAACCTTTGGCTCCATGTGGACGTGAGTAAGACGAGCTGCGATCCTATGCACGCACAAACACTTGACAAAGAATAAAATCTCACTGAAAGCAGGGGGACTCACAAATCGTGTCCTCACCACGGAGGGCACGTGTTGCAGTGAGACTGGCCTCACTGTTTGTGTGGGTGCGATCGTTTGGATAGCCACAACAACCCGATTGGGTCCCTTGGTTGCTGGGGCAATTCTGGACAATGGGGTTGAGAGAATTTGCAGCCGGGGAACCTATTTATACCGCTGCACGTTGCGTCAAGCTTCCTCTTAGTACCTCGTGCATCGGATCACCCGCCCACCCTCCCTATATTTAGGGTCTTGCTATGACCTTGCTATAGGGACGCGGGTGGCGCTGTGGGTTAAACCACAGAGCCTAGGACTTGCCAATCAGAAGGTCGGCAGTTCAAACCCCCGTGACGGGGTGAGCTCCCGTTGCTCAGTCCCTGCTCCTGCCCACCTAGCAGTTCGAAAGCACGTCAAAGTGCAAGTAGATAAACAGGTACTGCTCTGGCAGGAAGGTAAATGGCGTTTCCATGCACTGCTCTGGTTCGCCAGAAGCGGCTTAGTCATGCTGGCCACATGACCCGGAAGCTGTACGTTGGCTCCCTCGGCCGCAACACCAGAGTTGGTCACGACTGGACCTAATGGTAAGGGGTCCCTTTACCTATGACCTTGCTATGCCGTCATGGGTCGTCTGCTTTTGGCGCAGGGGCCAGGTAGGAATTTTCCCATTCGGCTAATTGGCTGGTGCCACTTGGGTTCCGCCTGCCGCATAGCAAATTGTCACAACTTTGTAAGGTTTGGCAGTTAGGCATTGGTTCAAGGTGTGGTGGAGGGGAGGTTGTCACACCTGCCCCTCCCAATGTGCGATTGGGTATTCCATTAAAGGAATCCAGGGGCTCGCCATGCTTTTGTCTGATCCCCTTCCAGGTTTTCGGACCACGCCAGAGCACCTGGCTCTTTGGAGTGAGGTTGCGTCTGTGGTAGAACCAATGCTCCCCCAGTCTGTTTACCCTTACTGACTTCTGCCGGTGTCCAGTTGTCAGTGCTGCCCTGCCGGATATGTAGGTGCAGCTAGTTGAACCAATGCCTAAGCAAACCACTCACATTCTGTAATCAATAAAGTTGTGGCCAAAATTATGCCAATAACCTTAAACTAATATTGGTGTCGACTGTGTCTTTCTTTTGGAGGCCTTGGGGGTCTTGACACACAACACTTCTGAATAAACACATTTAGGATTGCACTGCGAATATTGATTTTTTTACTATTTTCAAGTGGAAAAGAGGATCCTCCTAGCAACTCTGCTTGTTAGTATTGGTATTGTAGTAACACACAGCCACTTCTCCTTGTTTGAAAGTGCAAAATTAAGAAGCGCGCCTGTTTCTGAAATCATGAACGTTTTTATCAGAAATTTAGTGCCCAGAGTTTTGACAGCATTGATCCTTTTGCTAACTGTGGAGTGTCAGATACTTGGAGGGTTCCTCCTAAGCCTTTGAACTTTCTTCCATCACTTTCAGGCTGCCTGGGGCGGAGGATTGCTAATGTCCAGGAAGCATCGTCATAAGCTGAGTGGCATAGAAAGGTACTGAATCATTCTCATTTGCATGTTTATTTAGTTAGAAACTTCTCCATGGTACATATGCCATTTTGCAAATACCTAGGGAAGATAAACCCCTATCTTAAAAATATTATAGAATTTTTTAAAAAGAGCAATTGACAAGAATAAAAGGTCCAATGTGAGGGGGGAATATTCCATGTGTCCATGTAGAACAGAAGCAGCTTTTATGCAAAATAGAATTTTCATGTTAGTGTAAGTTTTACATTTACATTACATACCAGAATGAAACAAGAGAGACTTCGTGCCTGTCCTGCCAATTCAAGGTGGTTCTTTTAACATGAGAGTCAGAAGTAATACAAAACACAAGTGAATGAGAAGATTAAAGATTTTCTTCCAAACAGCAAGCAATATATACATACCAAGCAAGCACTTCCATCTGCCACTTGGAAGCCCTCAAGAAGTGGCAAAGTGACTCCCCCAGGTAGCCTCAGTTTGCAGGGCCCTGCGGCCCTGTGCACCAGCTTCTCCAAAACTCTGCCCACAACCATCCGATTTACCTCATGAGAAGAGAAGACTCTCTGGAAAAGACCCTGATGTTGGGAAAGATGGAGGGCACAAGGAGAAGGGGACGACAGAGGACGAGATGGTTGGACAGTGTTCTCAAAGCCACTAACATGAGTTTGACCAAACTAGGGGAGGCAGTAGAAGACAGGAGTGCCTGGTGTGCTCTGGTCCATGAGGTCACGAAGAGTCGGACGCAACTAAATGACTAAACAACAACAAGCCTGTGCGGCTACGTGCAGATCATTCATTACTGGCTATGTGCAGATTATTCATTAGCCACCTCCTCCCAATGCCTCACTTTCTCAAAACAATGTTCAACATCAAAGAAGGTACCTAGCACTATCACTTCCTCCCAGCTGATTAGGACATTAAAGGCTGTTCTCATGCCATCAAATAGCTTAACAAGAGATAAGAAGGGGAAGGAACAGAGGCAAGTAGGGCAACCACGTTAGATCACTAACTCCTCGATATACAATTTATCTTCCAGATAGATTGCCCATACAATGTCTCATGAGTGAGATGCTTTGGGACAAAAATTAGCAAGACCTTTTGTCTGCATCAGCTGTTAGCTTTGTGTCACTTCACAGTCACACTCTCTGTGAACTGCTCTCAGCTTGTGGCCCGCCTTCCACCCTGGTCAAGGCTGGAGCTGTCATCAGTAATTGGCAATAACTGGCCCGAGTGGTTCTGCTATTTTTTATATTTTTGCATTAATCGACTGCATTGATCTGTGTGTGTTGGGAAGGGCACACACTCTCTAACTAGAGTTGACACAGGCAACACTTGCCAATTTTGGAAAGACCAAGAAGATGCTCACAAACAATATGTGCCAATAGTGGTGAATCACAGAATTGTAGAGTTGGAAGGGACCCCGAGGGTCATCTAGTCCAAACTCTTGCAATGCAGGAATCTCAGCTAGATCATGCATGACTGATGGCCACCCAACCTCTGCTTAAAAACTTCCAAGGAAGGAAAGTCCATCACCTTTCATGTGAGTCTTTTCCACTGTCGAACAGCTCTTACTGTCAGAAAGTTCTTCCTGCTGTTTAGTAGGAATCTCCTTTCTTGTACCTTGAATTCATCGGTTCAAGTCCTACCTTCTGGAGCAGCAGAAAACAATCTTGCTCCATCCTCCATGTGACATCCCTTTAGATATTAGAAGTTGGCTATCATAGTCTCCTCTTTACCAGGCTAAACATACCCAATTCCCTCAAGCGTTCCTCATAAAACTTGGTTTCCAGACCCTTGATCATCTTGGTCACCGAAGCAGTCCTACTGTTGTACACTTTTAATGCCCTGGTCATTGCATGAGATTCACATCTTTAACAGGCTGGATCTACAGACCTGAAGGATCATAATGTCAGCTTTCTCACAGAAGCTGTTATATTTGGACAACATTCACTGCACCTTGTAGTTTATTTAGAGCAGGAATCGGCAGAGTCCAGACTTGTGGGAACGACTTAATCTGACTATATCCCTGAGACCCACCAATTTGTGTGATGTGCTTGCATAGTAGCTTAGTGGGGGCGGACATAAACTCAAATCTAAAGAAGGACGCCGAGTATATCTGAACACATGCCCAAATCTCTCCCAAATTTTCTTCATTTCAACAAACAGAAAAAGAGGTGAAGAGAGACACCGTTGGTATTGTTAATCTACTGGAGGTCAGAAACCTTTGCTGATCTACCGCAAGTCTCTCAAGGAACTGGTCCACCAGCCATTCCTGATCCACCTTTTGCCCATTCCCGACTTTCTAGAGTGGAGATTTTGCACATCACTTGCTAGCACATCTTGGTGATAATGTGGGGATTACGTATCTCAGGAAATTTCAAACACCAGCCTATGTCAACAACTGTATTTTAGAAGGGGGGGAGAACAATTAGTGGGAAATATAGCTGAATATCCTGTTTGCCTAAACTTATAGAAATTCCCACGCTGCTGTTTCTAGAAGGTGGCTCTTTCAGGAATGAAGTTACATTATCAGCTAGACCTGACAGTAATTAATTACCATTCATTACGCTATCAGCTTCTCAGTATTCTCTCTTTACCAGTAACATTAATCCTGAAAAGACAGCTTCCCTTAGTGCAATTCCAACCTGCAATGCTTGCCCCACAGAATAAGACTATTGGCAATTTTTGTCATCTCGTATTCCTAGTATAGACCATTCTCGCCTTATTAGTCCTGGTGGTGCAGGGTCTTGACATCGGAGTGAGGGAAAATATGCCACAAACTGCATATTGCAGATAGGAGATGTATTTGTAAGCCCAGGAGATATTTTGCCCCAACTATCTCAAAAAGTAAGTAAGTCCCACTGGGATCCAGACTCTGGGAAATGGCCCTGCTCTGGATCCAGCAAGGCTAAATCTCTCACTCCATTAATTCTAAGCACATTCTTTTCTTTTTGCAGAGCCAACTCTGTCACATGGAATCCACACAAGATGATGGGGGTTTTATTACAATGTTCTGCCATTCTTCTTCGGGAAAAGGTTTGCTTGCATGTCGATTTCTTTTTAAATGGTACAGAGCAAACACAAATATGTTCTGTTTCTACCTTTACAGCTTTTCCCATAGAATCCTGGGAGCTGTGGTTTGCTGAGGACTCTGTGAGAGATCTCCCAAAGAACTACAAATCCTTAGGATTTCCTGGAGGAAAAAGCATGATTACTAAACCAATTTAAGTCTGCAGTTGTTATAGCTACAAGGCCAAAGACTTTCACTCTTCTCGCCTTTCTATTGGATTTATTCAGTGCTATTTTTATAGAAAAAGAGGTGCTAGAACTCACCATGATCACCTCCCTCATTCAGTGGCGCCCACCTGAGAGGTGCCGGAACGGAGTTCCACCGACTTCGGGCTGAAACAAAGCCCTGGATTTATTTGTTTAGAGTATTTTTATTCCAACCCTTCAACAAGGTTTCCAGGGTGGCGTTGGCATGCCACGCCTGTAGTCTTGGTGGCACCTAGAGTGCCTTATGCTGATTGTAGTTACAACTGACTCCTATGGCTGCCAAATGGGATTTGGTGATTCCACTGTGCTTTCTTGCCTACTAAAAACTCCACTATAAAGGATAACTGAGGAACATCAAATAAGTAGAGTTGTCTAGTGTAACTGAGTCCACAGTAGTCAATGTGCTTTTAAGGTGCTCCACACATTAACTGTGCCACATTTTACACCCACCATTCACCTCTTCTCTGCCATGTTGAAGATCTCCCGATGGCACAAGGACGTTGCTACGCCATTGTAATATTTTACGTTGGCGCAGTGCCGCATTTTGCTGGTGTGGAGGGCTTTAAGGGTGAGTTTATCCTGTCCGGGTGATGTAACTAATGGATAGGAAGATCACTGTTAGTCGCTGCCATTGGTTTTTGTAGTTACGTGCTTAATAGTCACAAAACTGGTCCAAGATCCAGGAGAACTAATAGTACACATGCAAGAAAATCTACCCGGGCAGCAGATGCTGCTTTCTGTTTTGCAGCCATGAGCAGGCCATGCAACGAGGGGAGTTGCTGAAGTGAGAAAGGACGAAGAAAATCTAGGTGGGCGTGAAAAATCGAGCTTAGATTCCCTTGGGAAATGCTGCATATAAGTGGAATGCCGTGCACATACGTTCTGTGCATGCGACACTATATTTTATCTACTGCTTGATTTCATATATTTGAAGAGGGTGTTTTCCCAACAGGGCATACTTCAAGGTTGCAACCAGATGTGTGCAGGATATCTGTTCCAACAAGACAAGCAATACGATATAACTTATGACACTGGGGATAAAGCAATACAGTGTGGTCGCCATGTGGACATATTCAAATTCTGGTTGATGTGGAAAGCCAAGGTAAGCAATAAAATGTCAGAAAAATGCACATCAGTTTTATGTGAGAAGATAGTTCAACTAAGTCCAGAATGCGGCGGCTAGACTGGTGACTGGGAGTGGCCGCCAAGACCATATAATACCAGTCCTGAAAGACCTACGTACATTGGCTCCCAGTACGTTTCCGAGCACAATTCAAGGTGTTGGTGCTGACCTTTAAAGCCCTAAACGGCCTTGGCCAAGTATAGCTGAAGGAGCATCTCCACCCCCATCGTTCTGCCTGGACACTGAGGTCCAACTCTGAGGGCCTTCTGGCAGTTCCCTCAGTGCAAGAAGCGAAGCTACAGGGAACCAGGCAGAGGGCCTTCTTGGTAGTGGTGCCCACCCTGTGGAACGCCCTCCCATCAGATGTCGAGGAAATAAACAACTATCTGACTTTTAGAAGACATCTGAAGGCAGCCCTGTTTAGGGAAGTTTTTAATGTTTGGTGTTTTATCATATTTTTAATATTCTGTTGGGAGCCACCCAGAGTGTGGGGGGGTATAAATAATAAAATTATTATTATTATTATTATTATTATTATTATTATTATTATTAGGGTTTATCACTGTAGCCTTAAGTTCCCAGAAATCCAAATCTGTTAGTCCTAAATGTTTATATCTTCACGGATGGGGGAGGAAGGAGTTTTTGGAAACTTTTAGTGAAACTACATTCCTTTCCACAAAATAGTTTTTGGATAGACTGACCCCCGAACCCTAACTTCTCCCAATACAATTGCTTAATAGAATGCTTACAAGAATTTAATTTTTATCCCCCTAGTGAACCATTTTTTGTGAGTCTGGTCGTGTTTATTATTCATTTGTGTACAATTTTGTAACAGGAAAATAAAACAACAAAAGAATGCTTATAAGTAAAGGCATTTAAACTAATGGTTCTTTTTGTTCAAGTAAAACTAAATATATGTGGATATGCTTGTAAGTCTATTTTCAAAATCTGTATTTCTTTTTAAAAAGGAATATATTGAAAATTCGGGTCTGCTTGAAGGCCATATTATTTATAGTTCATTTTGTAAAGATTCTTATTTCACACAGGCTGTAAAATATGGTGTAATTTGTAAAATTAAATAGTGGATTTAAAATTTAAAAATTACGGAGACACTAAAGATGAAGATATACAACTTCAAAATTTCAAAAGAATATTCTATAGTTTAGCAACCTTCAGAATTTAAAAGCATAACATGGAAAATAAATATAGTTGAACACAAATATTTTATACTCAAAGCTAACCAGAGCAAATATGTACAAGGAAGAGTACAGAACTGAAATTTTAAAAATATCTTTCTTTTTTTCAAAACAGGGTACAGTGGGATTCGAAAGTCAGATCAACAAATGTCTTGAATTAGCAGAATACCTCTATAATAAAATTAAGAACAGAGAGGAGTTTGAGATGGTTTTCGAAGGAGAGGTAAGCAATGGGCCACAAACTACTTTCAATTAAAAATGGGCATTTGGGGAATAGAAAATGCACCATCCAGCCCAAAGTTAAGCACTTTAAAGCCAATGTTATTTTCAATGGGGGATATTTAACTACATGTTTGACTCACCAACTGAAGTCAATGGGGTGTAAAAGTGCTGAACTTTGGTTGGCTCGCGGCAGGCCCCAGGTTTTCGTGCAGCCTTTGCCAACGAAAGCCTTGAAATGTAATTCCCCACCCCAACCCCAGTTTCAGCTAACTGGGCAAATGGTCACTTGTTTTTCTTTGCTTGCTTGCTTGCATTTAAAGGACAAAACTGCAGTATAAGTACTTAGCTGCAACTAGAACTGTACGATGCTTGCATGTAGGCTCTATTTGGGTCTGTGGACACATTTGAAAACTGGAGAAACCCTTGTAGACACACACACACAGTGCCGGAGTTACATATGAGCTAAACAAGCTATAGCTTAGGGCCCCACTCTCTTGGGGTCCCCAAAAAAATTTAAAGGAAAATAAACCTGGATGTACATTTCTAAAATATAAGATAAAAAACAAATAAAATAAAACCTACATACGGCAACAGTGTTTGTGTTGTGTAGGCTCCTATGATGTAAGTAATGGCCTGCTAGCCTGCTCCCTAAAATATCACTGGTTTGCTCATTTCTATATACAGGGTGCCTACATTCTGCATGGACTGGTTGCATGGCAACGTGTAGCATGTACCTAATGTGTTTGCATTATTAAGTTTGTTATGAATAAAAAATCATTTTAAGTTAGAGCTTAATAATTATTTCACTATTAATATACTTCTTCTTAATTGCATTTCACTGTTAATATACTTCTTCTTAATTGTATTTCAGTTCAACAATTACTTTGATAAAATACATATTTTGTTATGTGCAAATGACTTTAGATACCTGTTAGGTCCATAAATTACCATATAGCATATATTCAACACAAAAAACAGCGACAATTTGTTGTTGACAAAGGACAGCTGGACCATAGCTGTCAACTTACAGATTTGAAAATAAGGGACCAGCAGCCTTGAAAATAAGGGACCAGCAGCCAAAATAAGGGACCTGCAGCCTCACCTGTTCCAGGCACTCCAGTCTTCCTGTCCTCCTGCAGTCTGGTCAAACTCATGCTGGTAGCTTCGAGAACACTGTCCAACTAACTTTGTAACCAGAGGTTCAACTGAATAGAATCTGAATCACATGCACCACAAGGCCTATGCAGCCTCAACTTAAGATGGCTCCCCGGCCTGGCTTTGCACTGCAAAGTTTGCAGCAGCACGTGCAACAAAATGGCGTCCAGCATTCAAAAAACCCCTCAGCTTGCATTAACTAGCCACACACAAGGCATGCAAGCTCCACCCCCCCAGTCATTCTTAGACTTCTTATTGGGTGAGCAACACAGCCAAGCAACACAGTTGGAGCCTCCCTCCTCCCTGGCCGGCAGGGAGGGAGGGAAGGAGAGGAGCTGCTTCCTTTGAAATTTAAGGGACATCCTTTAAGGGACATTTAAGGGACATCCATCAATAAGGGACAGCAGCGGGACATGGCGCTGGAATAAGGGACTGTCCCTTCAAATAAGGGACACTTGACAGCTATGAGCTGGACATAAAAAGGGCCCCATTACCTTCAGTAGTTTAGGGTCTCATCAAACCTAAATCTGGCCCTGTACACGCGCACACACACACATATGCACCACCACAAATAGTTAAAAAGAAGTATTGCCCTTTCAAAAGACCATTGGAGAGTTGGACTGGATTTGATATCCCACTTTATCACTACCCTAAGGAGTCTCAAAGCAGCTAACATTCTCCTTTCCCTTCCTCCCCCACAACAAACACTCTGTGAGGTGAGTGGGGTTGAGAGACTTCAAAGAAGTGTGACTAGCCCAAGGTCACCCAGCAGCTGCATGTGGAGGAGCGGGGAATCGAACCCGGTTCACCAGATTACAAGTCCACTGCTCTTAACCACTACACCACACTGGCTCTATTCCGTGGAGGCAGGAATCCTGCGCTTCTTCCTGCAAAGCCACCGAACAGGAAAGTTCAAAATGTGAAAATCCACTGGGCTTTTGTAAGCACCTTCTGTGGATTTCCCTTCCCCTCTTTCGCCTCAAAAGATATTGTGATGTGCCACAAGTCGAACGAATGGCATTGGCAACTAAAGGCCACGCTTCCTTAGGAAGATAAGGCTCATAAACTGATTGGCAACCCTAAAGTAATCTGCTCTTAGCTGAGATGCCACGCTTCATTTTCTGCGATGCAAAGGTTGCTACTTTTGTTAATTCTGCTACTGGTGCTTTCTGGTGGTTTCACTTCATAAAGTTTGGCTGATTGGACACTTGAGTGTGCTCCAGTTCCTTATTTAACTTAAAAAAACTGATTCTCTGTCTTTTAACAGGAGAGAGTGCCTTTCTGTATATACTGAGGATTTTGCTGGCACAGGAGTGATGGGAGGGAGAGAATGTGTTCTCATCCACTTAGTCCTAAATGGGCTGTTTGTATTCCATATTCATTATGAACTAATGTAAAAAAAGATCTGGAGAGAGAGAGTCTTAAGATGGTAGCTACATACAGAATTGCATCTATTGGCTGTTGCTATTTATTAACAAGCAAAATTTCCAGTTGTGGTTGAGAGGAGGTTCCTTTCACAGTGATGACTTACAACAGCTCCTGATCCAAGCTTCCCTATTCAGCCAAACTTCTGATCCAAAATTTCCTAAACTTTGGGGAGGAGGAGTAGCAATGGGGTACATCACCCCAAGTGTTTGGTGTGTGGTGAGTTGTTTTTTTAAAAAATGAAATCTGAATTTTTGTGTTAGTATTTTATTTACCTACAATTTTGATGTTTGCTTTGTTTCGTTTCTGTCTTTATAGCCTGAACACACAAATGTTTGCTTCTGGTACATTCCACCAAGTCTCAGAGGGATCCCAGACTCAGAGGAGAGGAGAGAAAAGCTACATAGGGTAATCATATCTATTTTAATTACTCCTAAGCATTTCAGAGGGACGCGGGTGGCACTGTGGTCTAAACCACAGAGCCTAGGGCTTGCTTATCAGAAGGTTGGCAGTTCAAATCCCCGCGACGGGGTGAGCTCCCGTTGTTCAGTCCCTGCTCTTGCCAACCTAGCAGTTCGAAAACATGTCAAAGTGCAAGTAGATAAATAGGTACCACTCCAGTGGGAAGGTAAATGGCATTTCCTGGTTCGCCAGAAGCAGCTTAGTCGTGCTGGCCACATGACCCGGAAGCTGTCTGCAGACAAACGCCGGCTCCCTCGGCCAGTAAAGCGAGATGATCGCCGCAACCTCAGAGTCGCCTGCGACTGGACCTAACGGTCAGGGGTCCCTTTACCTTTACCTTTAAGCATTTCAGGGCAAGTCCTCACAGTAAACCATGTAATAGTTGACCTCTGTGAAGATGGCGCTCAACCTTCTCTAAGCCAAGGCCAAGGCCAGAGGTCTAGCTCTCTCTGAGAATCCAGAGATCCCGAATCGGTTTCTGAGAAATCTTATAAGGAAGGGGATTTTTCACGTGGCTGCTCCAGTAAAGAAACAAAGGACTAAACATTTCCCTTTTTCTATTTGAATCAAAAAGGTCGCACCCAAAATCAAGGCGCTGATGATGGAGTCAGGTACCACGATGGTTGGATATCAGCCACAGGGAGATAAAGCAAACTTCTTCCGAATGGTTGTCTCAAACCCTGCAGCTGCCAAGTCTGACATTGACTTCCTCATTGAGGAGATAGAAAGACTGGGGCAAGATCTGTAATCCCCTCAAATGACCCGTTTTACTTCTCTAACAGCACTATTTTCCGGTACTGGCTTCTTCCGGTTTTGGTTTGTTTGGGTTTTTTTGTAACCACTTCTGTAGAACACATTTCAAGGTAATCCCTTTCTAAATGTTTGATTCTTCTGAAACACCCTCCTTAAAGAAAAACAATTACAAAAAAACCCCTGTATATTATGAAACATATATGTGTATTAGTAGGTTATTTTACCAAAAGGGGAAAATATATTATCTTAAAATGCATTGTCCGCCCTTATTTAAAAGCCTGGCAAATCTAGTTAGCAGGAAGCTAATAGTATTAAGGTAGGCAATTAAGAACTCTGCACAACAGATGTGTACAGTAATATATATATAATATAAATAAATGAATATATATATATATTATAAATAAAGGGGTGATGAGCCTAAGAGTAATTCACAGTGTATTTTCCAGTGCAGAGGTGTTCTCAGTCAAGGACTGCTCCTACACAGCTCCATTTGAATTAATGAGGCTTGACCAGAGCAATGCTTGGAAGATTATACCCCAACACCCTCATTGCTTGGGAGTAACCTCCCTTGGTTTGAATGGATAGCACTGGGCACCATCCACCTCCCTAAGTTTCTCCTGATTTTTTAATGGGCGCAGTCAAGCCAAAGGTGAGCATTTTGAAGCCCCTCTGGAATCAAAGGAACTTAAGAGGACTTAGCTTTGACTGGATCATGGCCAGGATGTACAAATATTTAGGACTGGGGTGGGAGGAAGCTAATGTTTTCACCTAAAAGGTAAATCATGCAATAACTGGGCCGATGTCATATCCCAGACGAAATTAGGTATGTATGGGGGAAACGTTTTTAAAGATGTAGATTCTTAGGAACTAAGGAAAATGTTTAACCTTATTTAAACTTTGTTGCTGGTGCTTCTCTGATGTATAAAAGAAACAGCAACGCTTTCCTAAAGAGAACCACCTACTAGATGTATATATGCCCCCATTAGTTGTCCTATCAGGGGATAGTAGTAGCTGAGATGTTGTGATAGGCCATAATATTATTGTTGTATTTTTTAGAATTTGATTTGTGTAGATTGTATACATTACTGTTAGACCGCGGGAGGAGGGAGGAACTAAATGTAATAGTTTTCCAGCAAGATAACTGTTCAGTTCTCGGTATATGAACTGTTTGTTTTCTTTATATGCAAAGATTTACCATGCTAAAGAGCTGTCTTGTATTTTCTTCCATTTGTAATGTATCCTATTTATATAATTATCAAAGTTCTAAATAATGTTTATTGGTATTTTAGTGTATTTGTGAGCCAAAGAGAAGATTAAAAATTAGTCAAAACGTTTATATAATAGTGCCCTTAAAACAATAACTTAATAGATGATTTTACTGTCTATAAGGAATCCTAACACTGTATATAGACTTTAGCCTAATGAAATACTTTCATTTTAATAGAATTGTCGCCTTTACTAATTGTACTGTAGTCTGGCTGTACGTTCTGTGTTCTGGGTGCTTTTTTAGTGAATCATGAATGCTTACATTAGCCGCTGCATACTCCTGGTAGTTTAGGGCCAAACTCTGTAATTTATTTAGATAAATTCTGTGGCAAGATACCCAAAGAGTGGCGATGATTCTGTGAACATGCTCTCGGATCTCATGAACCTCAGAAGGGTACCACATCATCATTTGGAGTTTATAAAAGAGAAGGAAAAGCTTGCCACAGGATATTTCACGTATGTATGGCTGCCTTGCCACAGTGATTTCCACATGGTTAAAGATATCAGATTTGCCTCAGATTTTATTTGCTAGGTAGTCAGTATTACAGATTCTCAGTCAACTGCCCTTCTAGGAGCTAACAAAGTCGCAGAACCGATAGAACTGCCTGCCAACAGAGTAACTTGACTCAAGCAACATCTTCTGACTGAAGAGCCTTCCCGAATATGCTGCTATGGCTTTTAGCTTCAGTTTTAAGGCCTCGCTTTTCTAGCACATCATAAATGCTAAGGACTACAGCCCTGCACCAAGTGACCAACACGTGGGTCCCATGGAAAGGAATGGAATGTATATACGTCAACTGAAGTTTTGCACAGGTAACTTTATGGCCTGGATTAAAACAAAGCAAGCGATTGCTTTGTTGGAAAACATTAGCAATATTTCGACGAATGTTTGTTGGCATATGTGTAGCTTTTACCTTTTTGGTTTCCAAGTGGGGAATGAACAGCATTTAAAAGTTGCTCCCCGCCCCCATGCCCCCCCTCTGCTTTGGGTGTCCTCTCTCTCGCTCTCTGTCTCTGGTTGGTTCTTTCTCCTGTGATCAGCGCTCCTGGATCGAGATGTGTCTAGACTGCCCTAAATGTGTTAAATGTCCATATGGCATTTTTAAATAGCATTTGGATGGAACAACCGAGAAGCCGTTTGCAAAGAGTCTTAACATCTGCTGCCTCTAATTAATCTCCAAATATAGAAAGTTTCGCTCTGAAATGAAAAAGGGAGAGCCACATCTGTATTTTTTTTAGGCATGGTGTGATAGGTTTCTCGTTCTGTTTCTAGTGAAGGAACTTCCTGCCCCCCTCTTTAATCTTTCCAAGACAGTGCAGTAAAGATAATGGGCTCTTCCTGTTCTATGACCCCCTTCTTGCATCTCGACTTTAACATCTAGGGGATGATCTATGTTTGTTATCTAATCCAGAGCCGTAGTGATCATAAAACCACTCTGCAGTCCTGTGCAGTAGACATCCTGCTATTTCTGCTTCGGAACCATCATTTTGTTTTACGCAGCTCCTAACACAGGACAGGTACCACTTCCTTATAGTCCTTAGATACAATCTACCTGCAGGGTGTTCAGACTTGGAGTTATATTGATCTTCAGCTACAAACAAGGAAGCACAAGTCAATAAGCCTTGTTGTGAGTCGCGCCTACCTTCCTTTGACACTTGGGACTTTGTGTGCAAGTCTCAATGGTGCAAAGTCTGAACACCTACCACAGGTACCATCAGCAGTGGCACCCATGCTAGCTTTTTCTTCTGGTTGAAATATGGGAGACTTTCTTCTTAGGCTTTTGATTTCTTTTCTAATCGCCAAGCGAAAGGTTGGCATGCCAATCAGCTGACTGATGACATTATTTTTTGACTCCAGTCAAATGTTCTGAGGTTGCCACTGTGTAGATATTTGCTTACCTTTCAAAACTCCTTAGGCCATGCATAGTGCTTCAAAAGCTCCAAGGAAGAGCTGATGGGCAGCAGTTGCAAAGCACTGTGCAAGGTGGGAAAATCCCTTTTGGCTCAGCTGCATCACCAATCTACCAGAAACCTGACATTATATACGGCATCCGGTATGAGCAGGTACGCGTGGCTTATCCAAAAAGAGCCTCACAGACCAAATGTGGAACCCTGGTGGCCCTTAATAATAAAAAATAATCTATTACTGGTACCCCACCCATGTGACTGGGTTGCCCCAACCATTTTCGGCTGCTTCCAACATATAAAAACCTAATAAAACATTTTAAAGCTTCACTATAGAGGGATGCTTTCAGATGTCTTCTAAAGGTTATATAGTTACTCATCTCCTTGACATCTGATGGGCGGGCATTCCACAGGATGCCACTACCAAGAAGGCCCTTGTGTCAGATTTTTCCCATAGTTGCATTAAAGTTCAATTTCCCTTCCCCCGCCACCCAAAGTCAATGTGAAGATAGCTTGCCCACTGGTCCTGCAGCAGCTGGGAGGCAAGTCTAGCGGAACAGCAAAGCATCTCCAGACAGGAGCACAAAGAGTCCTCTGTGGAGAAGACCTAGAGGAACGAGAGTTGGACTAAGACCAGGGAGACTCAAGTACCAATCTTCACTCAACTATGATGCTCGTCAAAGGATGTTGACACACCCTCAGCACTTTAACCTACCTCACAGGGTTGTTGTGAGGCAAAAATAAAAAAGGGAGGAGGGGGGTTGTATATGCTACCCTATCCTCCTTGGGGGAAGGGTGAAATAAAAATGTAATAAAATAAATAAAATAAAATAAATTCATTTTTTAAAGCCAATAATGTCATTGCTTCACAGTAAAAGCTACTGTAAATGCTACTGAGGTGGGGATGAAGAGAGTCACTGTGCAGAAGACACTTGCCCCAAGGCAGGGGTCTGCAACCTTTAAGACAAAAAGAGCCACTTGGACCCGTTTCCAAAGAAAAAACAACAACTGGGAGCCGCAAAACCATTGCGACATTTAAAACAAATATATCTCCGGAGCCGCAATCTGACAGCAGGCAGGAAGGTGACGTCGGGACGGTGCGTGACTAATGCACGCACCGCCCCCATGCGACGTCACAGCCAGTACAGCGCCCGCCACAGTGAGGAGTGTCGGGGCGCACAATGCGCCTCCTCCCCTCGCTAGTATCCGCCCCGGAGCCGCGGCAAAGATGTAAAAGAGCCACATGCGGCTCCGGAGCCGCGGGTTGCAGACCCCTGCCCAAGGGAACAATAATGAGAAGTTTGAATATTGGCATTTTGCCATGGTAATAGAGCTCAGGTTCCTCAGTGCAAAATCAGCAACAGGCTGTTACAGAGTTCCTTTCACTCTTCCATAACTTAACAATTTGTGACCAGCTCTTCTCCCTTACTTAAGGAGATCCCATAATGGCATTTTCTGAGGCTTGTAATAAACTCTTCCTGCTTTTGGCTGCCACTGTGAAATACTCTTCCAAGCTTCCAAGTTCCTTCATTTCTCAGAACCCTCCAGATTCTAATCATTCCCATCTTATGATTACATTTTTAGCCCCACAGTAATTGCCATTTGAATAACATGTTATAATCAGGACTTTTTTTCAGCCAGAACTCACCAGAACTCACTTCTGACCCCTCTCAGGTGGCACCATTGCCATTATAAACAGAACAAGGGAGGCGTTCATAGTGAGTTCCGGCACATCTTTTTCTAGAAAAATAACACTGGCTATAACGAATGTATGAAGCAGGTAAGAGTTACTCTTTTGAGGATACATTTGATGAGGTACTAGACATGTTCAAGATTATTTAGTGGATTATCTTTCTGCGTTCCTGTTGAGATCCTGTGAAGTAGGGACTTCAACTTTACTGTGTGGTAATTGACATCCCAAACCAATTTCTGGGGCTTCTCCTGAGACTGCTATCACGAGTATTTATTAACTTGCTATAGCGGTACTCCCTCCTTCTCCCTACATATATGTTGCTGATTTAGATAGTTGTTTTTTTAGAAAGACTAACACAGAAAACCAATTAGAGGAGTCAACTCTATTTCCCCTTCAGCTGAACTGAACCTCACCGCAACTTCTCAAGTAAAAACCTTCATGGAGCTTTCTTGTATCCATACACCACATTTTTGCGGATGAATCCTAGAATTGTTGAGTTGGAAGGGATCATGAGGGTAACCTGGTCCAACCCCCAGCAATGCAGAAATATTTTGCCCAATGTGGGGCTTGATCAAGAGTCTCTACTGACTGAGCTGTAAACCTACCAAGTAGATTCTGATTAGGCAGTATGGCAAATCTATGCAGGATGTGGCTCATTTACAGTGCAGCCCACACCAGCCGCAATGAGCAAGTTTGGAACAGGAAGATCTTGGGCTGTCCTGGCCAAACTGGGATTACGCCAGCATAACGCTCTCAGCCTGGCTGAGGCAGGGCTATGCTGGCTCAGCTGGGCTTCAGCAAGTGGAATTTAGGGTGCCCCAAAACCCCTCCAGCTGATTTAGCTGTACAGTGGTACCTCAGGTTAAGTACTTAATTCGTTCCGGAGGTCCATTCTTAACCTGAAACTGTTCTTAACCTGAAGCACCACTTTAGCTAATGGGGCCTCCTGCTGCTGCCACGCCGCCGGAGCACGATTTCTGTTCTCATCCTGAAGCAAAGTTCTTAACCTGAAGCACTATTTCTGGGTTAGCGGAGTCTGTAACCTGAAGCATATGTAACCTGAAGCGTACGTAACCTGAGGTACCACTGTATTCAAAGGAAGCACAGTAGAAGTTCATTTTGTTCCAGGTTATCTTTCTGTGTCAAATATGGCACCAGATTTTAATTTCATTGCTGTGTTGGAGTCGTCATGCCCACATCCCACTCTATCCAAATGATTTCATAAATAAAGCCAGAGGCTGCTGTATGTCTTCAGCAAGCAGCTAGCTCTCGGCTATTTGACTTGCATGTTGTAAAGCAATTATCCCGTGCATAACTTATATGCTTCTGCCTTTGGGGGGGGGACTGGGTATGCATGCTTCTGCAAGATCTGACCAGTACTCGCAACCAGCCTCGATGTTTTACAGTTGTTAAATTCACGTTTCACCCCTCTCCATTACAGTTACAAGGAGACTCCTTGCCTTTGCTTCAGTCATTTTCCTGTGGATTTCTCTCTTGTGATCCATCTGGGATGAAAACCAAAGCCCTTCACCAAAATTACCCTCATTTGAATACATCATCTGCAGTACAGGATGAGTCAATAGGCGAGTAATTGTAGCAATTTTCCTTCTCCTAAAGTCTGAAGGAACATGATGACTTTAGTGTCGATAACTGCCCTTAATAAGTATTTGGCACCCTGTAGCAATGAGAATAGCAATGCTTAGTATTTCAATAGTGTTTCCAAGTATTTGAAGTCCCCTGCATGTTATTACCTTACAGTCCTCACAGCAGTCTGACTGAGGAAAGGGCCTTTTTGTTGTTGGTGCCCCATATATTCGATATCCTCTTCAGAAAGGTATACCATATCCTGTCCGGGGCTCCATGCAGCTGGGAATAGGAGTCTTCTCACAGGGGCAGACGTATGGTGTCCTGTGAGAGGCCAGATTTTGGCGCCCCTAGATGCATCTACTCAATTATGGTTTGCCTCAATTTTGCACCCCTTTAGTGTGGCACCCTGTGCAGGGGAACTGCCCTAAACCCGGCACTGCCTTATCGTCCTGTTCAGGGCTCTCAAATCACGTCCACATCATGCATTTAAAGGGGAGCCTAAAGAATGCATATTCCCCCAAAGAATCCTGGGAACTCTAGTTTACCCCTTAAAGGTAAGGTAAAGGAACCCCTGACCATTAGGTCCAGTCGTGGCCGACTCTGGGATTGCGGCGCTCATCTCGCTTTATTGGCCGAGGGAGCCGGCGTACACTTTCGGGTCATGTGGCCAGCATGACTAAGCTGCTTCTGGCGAACCAGAGCAGTGCACAGAAACACTGTTTACCTTCCCGCCGAAGCGGTACCTATTTATCTACTTGCACTTTGAGGTGCTTTCGAACTGCTAGGTTGGCAGGAGCAGGGACCGAACAATGGGAGCTCACCCCGTCGCGGGGATTCGAACCACCGACCTTCTGATCGGCAAGTCCTAGGCTCTGTGGTTTAACCCACAGCACCACCCACGTCCCTTAGTTATCCCTTAGTAGTCCCTTAGTTTACCCCTTACAGAACTACAGTTCACAGCACCCTTAACAAACTACAGTTCTTGTGATTCTTTTGGGGAAAGCCGTGTGTTTTAAATGTGTGTGGCTGTGACCTTAACTTGGGAAGGGGAGTTAAAAGAGGAAAGGGACGCTTCTGTGTTTCCCCATCTAATCCCGTTCCCCAGGCTTTCCTTTTCTATGCTATAATAGCACAAGGGCACTCAAGTTTAGGGCTGCTGACAGCCTCTGAATGTGGGCTTGCCCAGAATGGTGTTTTACTGCGGTTGTCTTCTGCAACATGTTCTCAACTTGGGGCTTTTCCACAATTGCCATTTATACTGTAGTGGTATAATTGCTGGGGTTTGGGGGGTTGGCATGCAGCTACACGATGTCGTCGTTATTCAGCTGGTACTATGGAATCAGGACGCGGGTGGCGCTGTGGGTTAAACCACAGAGCCTAGGACTTGCTGATCAGAAGGTCGGTGGTTCGAATCCCCGTGACGGGGTGAGCTCCCATTGCTCAGTCCCTGCTCCTGCCAACCTAGCAGTTCGAAAGCACGTCAAAGTGCAAGTAGATAAATAGGTACCACTCTGGTGGGAAGGTAAACGGCATTTCCGTGCACTGCTCTGGTTCGCCAGAAGCGGCTTAGTCATGCTGGCCACATGACCCGGAAGAACTGTCTGTGTACAACGTTGGCTCCCTCGGCCAGTAAAGCGAGATGAGCACCGCAACCCCGGAGTCGGCCACGACTGGACCTAATGGTCAGGGGTCCCCTTACCTTTACCTTTACTATGGAATCACATCCTTTAACAAAAGCCTTTTTCTTCTACTGAAAAAGAGCCAACTTTTGTGAAAGATCTGTGGTGGATCATCAATATTTTGTGGCATAGGTACAAGCACCATCCCATCTTCTGTGGAGAAGGGCTTTCGGGTTTGGGGCATGGATTGCGAGATGCCCGCCTTGTGCCACTTCCCTCTAACTCAGGGGTCTGCAACCTTTAAGACAAAAAGAGCCACTTGGACCCGTTTCCAAAGAAAAAAAAACTGGGAGCCGCAAAACCATTGCGACATTTAAAACAAATATATCTCTGG